TTCCAACCCAGCCCCAACCCCAACTGGAGAGGCAGGCACACAGACTGAGGCCCGGGGGTGGGGGGCTCCCCGGGAGGGAGCCGGAGAAGCGCTCGCCAGGCAGCCGTAGGGACAGGCTCAGCCGGCTTTGGTAGAAATCCAGGTTGAAATCTGAAATCCTCCTCGGGGGTGCGAGGGCCGCTGTGGGCTCCTCCTCCTTCCCCCTTTCTGGGTCATCAGTCGCACAGCAAGTTCTGAGAGAAGCAGCAAAGCTGTGGCAGCCAGAGGGCCATGGCTCAGGGGTGACTCACAGCGGGCCCTCCTGACTCACGTCCCGCCTTCACTGCCCTCGCCCCCTCACGGGGGCTTCCGGGACTCCCAGAGAGCTGGGTGCCACCCGGCCTCCTCGGTGGTGGTGGCAGGACAGCAGAGCGGTGCCAAGCCTCTGGAGGTCCCAGAGCCAGCCACGTGCCCTCCCATGCAAGAGACTGGGAGCCGCTGGGGCCTGCGCTCAGCCCTGCAGGGCCTCGGTCGTGCTTGCCTTGAACCCCCTGCTTCGTGCCATGGGCAGCGGGGGGAGTCCTGCCCGTAGAGCGGGGCTGACAGCTCGGCCACACGAGCACGTGTGCTTCTGTTGTCACACGAGTCACCACTCTTGCTCACCTCAGAGACAGTCTTTCCCAGGTGTGCCAGCCATCGGGATGACGTAATACCAGCCTTACCGTTAGCACCAGCTGGTGCCCTGTGCCAGGCACTGGGCTCGGTGCCCTCCGTGGGCTCATCTTTGCATGTCGCTGACCCCTTTTGCCATCCTGAGAGCTAGGTGCTGGTATCTCCCCTGTTTTACAGGTGAGGCATTGAGGGTCAGCAAGGGTTTGAAAAACCCAGAATCTGACTAGCAAGGCCTCCATCCTCTCCCACGCTGTCCTCCCAGCATCTCGGGCACCAGAAACCACCAGCCGCACTCGTAGCTGCAGCCCCTGCTCTGAGCGCATGGAGAGATGCACGGCATCTCTGCTGGGTGGGAGCCTTGTGGGCTGGAGGCCTGAGCACTCCCACCCTCGGGGCGGTGACGCGGGAGGTCCAGGGCTGGGACAGGCCTCTTCCCGGTGCGCAGGGCCCTCCGCGGACACCCTTTGCCCACCTTCGGGCTCTGTGGCATCTGAAGGGCAGGCCTGGGCGAGCACTGGGGTCCTGTTTCATGTGGCATGCAGATGACAGGCTGGCCTCTGTCTTGCTCAGAGCCCTTTGCCAGCAGAATTCCCCAAGGTAGCGAAGGACCCGGGAGCCTTTTGGACACGGCTCCTGGGGAAATCCACCCTTGGCCACACGCCCTGCACCTCTGGGCCGACCCTCTGCACCCTTGGGACTGTTCTGGGGAGAGGCGGCCAAGGCCCCCCCAGAGCTTCCCTTCCTGCCAGCCACCCAGGCAGCTGCCTGGAACAGGGCAGTTGGGTGGAGGGTTCCCTGCCCACTGGCCCTCCCTAAGGGGGCCAGAGAATCTTCGTGGGCCTCGGAGGCAGCCTCCCCTCCCTGGCGCTTCCCAGGTGTGGTGGGAGGGTCCTCTCTGGGCTGACCCTCTCCTTCACATCGTGAGTTTCCTGGAAAAGATCAGATCCCAGAACTGCCCTGCCCTGGCTCTCGGGGGATCTGATTTTCTAGGTCAGGGCAGACCCAAAGTACAAGACAAAGAATGAGTCAGCTTTGCTGGGACGCTCGGGCCTGGGGCACTGTCCAGGGACACATCTGGACACCCAGCAGCTGCCAGTGCGGGCTCAGGGTCTGACAGGCCTGGGTTAGTTCTGCTCCACTCACTAGCTGTGTGACCTTGGGCAAGTCCCTCCACTTCTCTGTGCCTCCGTTTCATCATCTGAAATGAGGCAGTGAGAAAACTTCCCTTGTAGGTTGTTTCATGGAATAAATGAAAACAGTCTTGGGGCCAGCAGGTGACATGGTGGTTAAGGCTCTGGATCCCATGTAGCTGACTCAGTGGTTCAAATCCCAGACCCCACAGCTTGAAAAACACCGGACACGTGTGCATGCCCAAACTCCTGGGAGAAGGGAGGAGGGATTGCGGTGTGGCCACCCCCAGGAGGGGATCTCTCACTTTCTGTCTGTCTCCGTCTCCTCTCAGGAGCGCACACTTCAAGCCCAGCAGGGCCACGCTAGCTTTTGGTGCTGTCTGCTGACAGTGGTGACCGCGCTGGGCGCTGCAGAAGGGGACAGAGCAGCGCCCGGGGGTGGCCTCCCACAGATCTGTAACTTTTGAGCTCTCCGGTCAGACGTCTCCTCTAAAGCAAAGCAAGCCTCCCACCTGCCTGCCTGACCTCCCCCAGCGTGCAGGGGCACCCCTGCTTATGCCCAGGGTCCCCCGGGAGCCCGGCCCTGACTAGAACTAAACCCGCCTGTGTCCCCCTGCTCCACTTTGGGGCCATGTTCCTCACCTCAAGCCAGGGTCTACAGATAAGAATACCAGGTGGTGGGGCCAGGTGATGGCACCGTGATTAGGTTGCTGGACTCCCACATGGCCAACCATGGTTCAAATCCTGGAGGTGGTAGCTTGAAATGCACGCTAGGCACATGTGAGTGGGTGCTTAAGATCCCAGGAGAAGGGATTGCAGCTTGGCCATGGGGGCGGGGGGCGATTTCTTCTCCCCTCACTGTCTGTCTCTCCACGGCAAGTGCGCATGCCCTAAGGCAACAACCTCTTTAAAAAGAATACCAGGTGGGCCAGCCTGCAGCCTGGCGGTTGATGGAGCTGGGTCCCACATGACTGGCCCGGTTCATACCCCGGCCCAGGTGGCTTGTAAGGCACACCAGCTGAGCACACATGCGTGCCCCAAATCCCAGCAGGATGGGAAAGTAGAGGAGGTGGGGTCATGGCTTGACCAGGCCCCACTGGCCACCAGGAAGCAGTTCGCTCCCCCTCCTTCCGTCTCTCTGGCAAGTGCACGTGCTGTCTAGTGAAAAAGTGGAAACGCCTGGACGGGCCGGCCACACTACAGGCCTGCCACACTACAGGCCTTCGCTCAAGTCGCTGGGGACAAACCGAGTCCTCATCCCGTTTTCCTCTTGGCATGCCTCTGCGGGGCTCCGAATCCGTGCACGCGGAGCAAGGCGGCAGAGCCAGTGCACAGGGCTACACCAGCAGCGCTGCTCAGCACCTGTCCCACCAGCGCTCGGGCCTGCTCCCGCATGGCAGAGACCCTGAGCTTGCGGTGGTCTCGGCTTTTCTGGAAAGGGGAGGTCTGACTGCACAGAACTGCCCGGCCTTCCCAGGGGAACCTTTCCTAAGATGGCAGGGCTGGCCTATGGCCTCCCCAGCCCACAGTGCCCCACACTCTGAGATGGGCTGCCCTTCTCAGAAGGCCCCAGCTGTAGGGGGTGGTCCTGACTCTGGTCCCCAGCACTCGAGGTCCAGTTGGCCTGGGCCCTGCCAGAACTGCACTGTGGACACGTCAGTAGGCTCGGGACAGGTGGGGTGGCCCGGCGTCCAGCCCGCATGCCCAGTAGCTTGCTGATCCCCAGCGTCTGGTGGAGAGGTCAGCTCCCACCCTTCTGCAGCCTCCTCCGGGGCTCCATGGTCAGGGCCTTGTCCCCGCAGTGCTCATGGCAGGACTCCCAGGTGTGCGGGCTGTGCCTTCCCCTCCTGGGTACTAGTGGAGGAAGGGCCTTCTGCATGCCAGGCTCTGCCGACAGCCTCCCACACCAGGAAGCTCCCTGTTGCTAGGTAAGGAGATGGGGTGCCCATGCGGCTCTTGCCTGTGTTCTGGTGAGAGCTCATAGGAGTCCTCACCCATGGAGGGGTCCTCACCCACAGAGGGGGTCCTCACCCACGGAGGAGTCTTCACCCACAGAGGGGGTCCTCACCCATGGAGGGGTCCTCATCCACAGAGGGGGCGTCTTCACCCTCGGAGGCGTCTTCACCCTTGGAGGGGAGTTCTCACTCTCACAGGGGAGCAGCTGAGTAGACTGGGGGCAGCTTGTAGTGTGGCCACCAGTTTCCTGCTCCGAGACGGGGCTCCAGTGGGCCCCCTCAGAGGACAGCCATGCACAAGAGTGAGGCAGTGCCTGGGAAGGGCCCAACACGGGACTTAGGGCTGTAGTCTTTGCCATCGAGTCTCCATCAGTCTCACTGTCCTCCTCTCAGTTCTTTGGCTTATGTGACACTGACCCAGGTCATGGCACCCCCAGGCGCTTGCTGGCCCCGGGTGGGCAAGGGTGCTGTCCTGTGAGCCAGCCAGACGCGGGCGCTCGCCCTGAGAGGGACCCATTGACTAGTGCTGAACACCCACATATACTTTTCTCACTCGTGGGATTTCACCCGGAGCGGGAGCCCTGAGGGCACGTGTCCGACCCTCACCTTCCTGGTGCGCAGCACATCCTGCCTGGGTGGGCATCAGGGTGCCGGTCCTGCCCCCCCCATGGCCACACCCCCATGGTGGCCGCTCCCCAGGAGTGAGCCCACTGCTGCCCTGGGACTGTCAGTCCAGATATAGATGGGCCTCGTGGGGACATCGGCAGAGGTCGTGCGAAGCTCTACACGGTACCTGAGACTGCGGGGCAGCAGGTCGGGGTGGCCTCTGCAGCACCCAGCCTAGGGTCACAGAGACTGCTGCCGGGACAGCTCAGAGGGCAGCTGGAGGGTGTGGGTGACTCCCTGCTCCCTGGGGGGGCGGTCCTCACCTCTGAAGAGAAGCCGGGCTCCTGTTCCCAAGTGGGGTATGGGGCGGTGCCCAGGGCATGGCTGGTGCTGGTGGCACAGACGTTGAGGGTTCTGCACTCTCTGCTCCACTTCCAGGACACATCGGATAACCATCACCAACTTCTGCCTGGGGAAGCACCTCGTGAGTGAGGGGGACCTGCTGAAGGACCAGAGGGGCAGCCCGGCCTACATCAGCCCGGACGTGCTCAGCGGTAGGTGTCTGTGCCGCACGGCGGGCTCCAGGCGGCTCGCGCCAGGGCTAAGGCTGGGGGCCTCACTGGGTGCCCAAGCCACCTCCTTCCCTGTACAGTGTTCTCTCTGGGGAGGGGCCAGGTGGCCTTACCTAGGCATGTGGCGTTTTCCCGAGGATAGCGTCGGGGAGGGAAGGATGTGACTCCATTAGAGTCTGCAAGGACCCGTGAAGTGACGCGACCAGGCCCGTCCAGGTGCTCAGAAGCCCTGAGCGTGTGTGACTGGGCCAGGTCGAGCGTCTGGTGCCGCGTAGCACGTGGGAGTCCCCGGTCTGCCACTTAACCGCATGCCTGTTTAAGGGGCGGCCGGAGAGGTGGCAGCTGGACCACCGAGGCCTGGTACAGGCCACGTCGAGAAATGACCAGACCTCACTGACGGCCACAGTGCCTCTAGCATTCACAGACGTCACTCTGCCCATTCATTCACTCATGCCTTCGACGGCTTCCTGAGGGCCGGCCACGTCCATGCCTCCGTTCTTAGCCTCTGGGCTTTGTACCTTCCTGCCCTAGGCTCCTACTCGGTCCCAGGCACTGTGCGGAGCACAGGATGGCCTCTTGGAAACCACACAGCCACCTGCAGGGTGAAGCTGCCCCCTTTCACAGATGAGGGGACCAAGGCTGCAGAGGAGATAGATGGTACTCACGGCTGATAGGCCAGGGGCACCTCTCACAGAACCACGGCTGATAGGCCAGGGGCACCCCGCACAGAGCCACGGCTGATAGGCCAGGGGCACCTCTCACAGAACCACGGCTGATAGGCCAGGGATACCTCTCACAGAGCCACGGCTGGTTGGCCACACATGTAGGCCTCACGTCAGGCTGCCCCCATGGAAGCCCAGCTCCCCATCTCACTGTAGTCTCTGCTACTGTCCTTTGCCAAATCTGGGTCCCTCTGGTCTTGATTGTTGAGAGAGTGGAGGACCCCGGGGCTGGTGCTCTCCAGGCCCCAGCACACATGTGTGCACCCCCTCCCAGGAGGAGCACCAGGGTGCCCAGCAGCATCTCCCCTGCGCCCAGAGCAGAGCTGTGTGTGGGGACCTGGGTGGCTACAGCCTGCTGAAGGACCAGAGGACGTGTGACAGGGCCTGTCCAGGGCTGTGGAAGTGGAGTGACCCTCGTGGGTCAGGCAGTGGGCGCCAGTGGCTGGACAGGTTGCCCTTAAGACAGGAGAGTAATGGCACGGCACCTGCCCGCCATGGCCTGGGACCGGGAGTGTTGCTGCGCCTCCCTGTCACAGACATGGGACAGCTGGTGAAATGAGTGTCTTCCATGCCGTCACGCAGTGGGCTCAGTGATGCCCCGTCTCCCTCCGTTTCCCAGTCACAGAAGCGACGGCATGGAGGGGTTCGGACTTCGTCCATTAGCAGATATCTGAGTCCACGCTGGGCACCAGGGCTCAGCAGTGGTCACCCCAAGAATGCAGCTGTACCTGAGAGCCACCTGCCAGGGGAGACGGCAGGGACAGAGGGGGCCCTGCAGACTGTTACAGTGCTCTGGGTGAGGGACAGTGATGGGGCGGCATGGCTGACCTGCCAGGGCCAGGTTTCTCTGTCCCACACACACCAGCCACCTGCTCCGTGAGCCTTTGCCTGAGGCTGGGGCTGCAGACCCAGGCCCCGCACCCCCAGGCTCCCAGTCTGGTGGGACGTGGAACAGCGGGCTCGGCAGGCGGTGAGGAGGTGCTAGGCTGCAGGAGACCCAGTGGTCTGTCTCTGTCTCCCCTGGGGATCAGGAAGGGCACCACCAGGGTGGGGTGGCATGCAGAGCTCGGGACCGCCACGCTGTTGTAGGGGAGGGACCAGGAGGAAGAGCTGGGCCAGAGTCAGGCGGCAGGCAGAGGGGTCCCATGGGTGGGATCCCAGGCATGCCACTGGTAAGCTGAGGGCTCAGGGCTGTGTGTCCCTCCACCCCCAGGCCGGCCGTACCGGGGCAAGCCCAGCGACATGTGGGCCCTGGGCGTGGTGCTCTTCACCATGCTCTACGGCCAGTTCCCCTTCTACGACAGCATCCCGCAGGAGCTCTTCCGCAAGATCAAGGCCGCCGAGTACACCATCCCTGAGTGAGTCCTGCCTCTCCGAGAGCGGGTGCCAGCCCTGTGGACCTGGGAGGGCGGAACGGCCCAGTGAGCCTGGGCCCACCCCTGCCCCACCCCACTGATCCCCTCCCCCTCTCGCTGCCAGGGATGGGCGCGTTTCTGAGAACACCGTGTGTCTCATCCGGAAACTGCTGGTCCTCGACCCTCAGCAGCGCCTGGCCGCCGCCGATGTCCTGGAGGCCCTCGGTGCCATCATCGCGTCCTGGTGAGTGGGCAGTGGGGGCTGGGCCCTGGGTGGGTTCTCAGCTGCGCTGCCCGTCCTGCCCAGAAAAGGAGGCTGCCTTCACCTGCTTCCCGAGGTTCCCATGGGCACAGGCGGGCCATGCAGGCAGAGCGCAGGGTTGGTGTCCCTGCCCCTGGGCCGTCCCAGCAGCGGGACAGGCGTTGCCTCACGGGGTTCTCACCACGGCCCAAGAGGGAGCAGTTGTCCCCATCTGCTAGATGAGTAGACAGGCTCACGGAAGCATGTCACGGCAGGACCCCCACCTCCCCATCTGGGAGCAGGGCACAGGCCCCAGGCTGCCCAGAGCCCGCCTGACCTCCCGCCCCGACGCTCCACAGGCAGTCCCTGTCGTCCCTGAGTGGGCCTTTGCAGGTGGTTCCTGACATCGACGACCAGATGAGCAGTGCCGACAGCTCCCAGGAGGTGAGTTGGGAGATCAGGCGGCTGGAGTGGAAGGGTGCCACTGGGAGGCCCCAGGGCCTGGACCTGGGCTGCCTGGTGTCTGGCGTAGTTGGAGGCCGAGCCTATGAGAGGGCTCTGGGACTGCTGGGTGGAGGCCCACCGGGCTGCCCTCAGCTTCCTCTTTCTCCAGGGTCACATTTCTCTGCCTGCCTGACTCACAGGGCTCCCCTTACCCTCCTGCTTTTCCTTTTTAGATGATTCATTTCTCCCTGTTCTCCATCTTCCCCCTTCTCTGCACTGGAGAAAGTGCTGGGCCAGGGAGGGGGCCCGCATTCGCGGTGCCCTAGGGTGCCCCCTGGAGGGTAGGGCTGGCAGAGCCAGGAGGATGCTGGGCCAGTGTGTCCCCAGGAGCTTCCCTGGCCCCTTGGTGCTCCACACCAAGCAGGGGGGCAGACGAACCAGAACGGCTGTGCTGTGGGGACCCCAGCAAAGCCTCCAGCCCCAAGAAAGGAGAGTTTAAATCCCGCCCTCCCGGGCCGTCGGCTGGCGCTGAGTGTCCCCCCAGCACTCCGGTGTACTTACATTTTGTGAAGTGGCCCATTTTACAGAAGAGGAAACTGAGGTGAGAGGGGAGGTCACTTGCCTGGGAGTAGTGCAGCTGAGTCCAGACACCCGTCCCTCCCATTAGCGGGGGACCTGCCACATCGCTTTCCGTTTCTGTCCTGTCTGTGTGGACGCCTGGCTCAGCTGGCGGCCCCTGATGTGTGTGTCCAAGATAAGGCCCCCAGAGGTTGGCATCGCAGCCCCAGGCCTGGCTCTGACCCTGGGGCCAGCACTGGCCCCCTCAGGGCTCAGAACCTCGGTGAGGGGAGATCTCTGCTCCCGTCACAGGTGAGAAGCCAAGACCTCCCAAGGCCTGTGAGTTAGGAAAAGAGAGCTCCAGGTCGGACCACAGGTCTGCGCTTTGGCCAGAGCTGCTGCCTCCACACCGGGGGCTGCGGCCTGGAGCCCAGGCTGTGGAAGGTCCTGGGGCCTGTCACTCGCCAGCTGTCTAGATGGGGCCCAAGGCATTGCCTGCAATGAGGCCTCAGAGCCAGGCACCCAGCACCCGCTCCCTGCTTTCCTGTGCCTGCTGCATGTCTGTCTGATCTCGTTGGTCTCTGTCCCCCTCGTGGCCTCAGGCAAAGGTGACAGAGGAGTGCTCCCAGTATGAGTTCGAGAACTACATGCGGCAGCAGCTGCTGTTGGCCGAGGAGAAGAGCTCCGTGCACGAGGCGCGGAGCTGGGTGCCCAAGCGCCAGTTCGGCAGCGTGCCCCCCGTGCGCCGGCTGGGCCATGACGCGCAGCCCATGACCTCCCTGGACACCGCCCTCCTGGCTCAGCGCTACCTGCGGAAATAGTGGCCACCACCGGGCCGCCAGCACCAACACCACCACCCCGGCCCCCAGCCTAGGCCTGGCTGCTGCACCGGGCCCTGTAGTGCTGGACTCGCCTAGGCTACAACGGGGACAGAGCAGGGACGGGGACAGCCCACGCCACATGCCACACGCGGGGTCAGCAGAGGTACCACGGAGCTACCTTGTGGAATGATTGCTTGATCGTTTGGTTTTTTAATCTGAGAAGCCTAGATAACTAATCTGCTTTTAATCATGACGTTTAATCTACCTCTGTCTCTTTAACCATGCTGTCTCTGGACTGAGCGAGAGGAAGGAGGGGGCCGCCCGCGCCTGGCCCCGCAGCCACGGGCAGTGGGCGTGCCCCTGCAGTCCAGAGAGCTGAAGTGCAGCTCGTGCTCGCTCCCCGTGGCGCCACCCCGGGCTTCTCTGCGGTCTGCGTCCGTCCTGTCCCTTCTGCCTCCACGTTGGAAAACCTTCGCCTCCTCTGACGCCGGATGCAAATATATTTATTTTTTTACTGAAACCAACTTCTTTCCCATCTTGGTGGCTCACCTGGCCACTCCCTGCCCCTAGCCTGGCTGGACAGCAGGGAGTCCACAGACCACGGCCCCTTCCTCGCCCCCAGAACCGAGCAGCCCTCCCTGCCGGCCCCTCCCTCTTGGTTTCAGTGACGGGAGGACGGCCTGGACTCCGCCTCATCTCAGCTGCTCCGAGGTGCTGCCGCACTGACCACGGTCTCCTCCATCCTGCGCCGTGGTTCCGGGTAGCGTGGCCCGCTGGCCAGGAGGGCACGCTGGGCCTGGCCCTGCCGCGTGTCTGCTCCCACCTGATCAGCGGGCACCTCTCCTCCCCCCTCCTCAGACGTCGTGTCTGTCGCAGCAGACCCCGGCCAGACCCCGACCCCTTTGTGGCTCGGTGACTCGGGGAGAATTAACAGGGACTGGGGGCCCCACCCTGCCTGGCTCGAGAACAGCCCTGCTGCCCGTTTTGAGCCGAGATTTTGAAGTGATGCCCGTCTTGCCAGAAATGCTGTTCTCGCCAGAACGCCCTTCTCGCCCAGCTCCCTCCCTGACTTGCCCCTGCCCTGCCAGGCAGAGACCCTTCTCCAGGGCCCAGCCTACACCCTGGGAGAGGCCGAGTTCACCCGGCAGCCCTGGCCTGGGGAGGTAGCCGAGGCCTCTGTGACCATGCTTCCCGGAGTGTGAGCTGCCCTCTCCCCTGCAAAGCTGACTCACTGTGAGTGACCTTGGGCAAGTTCCCAAACCTCCTCGTGCCTCAGTTTCCCCATCTGGAAAAAATGGGGCCACCTCTTGCCAGCAGTAGCAGGGCCGCCACGCCCCCTCCCACACCCCACCCAGCACGGGCACCTCGGGCCTCTGCCTCCGCAGGTCTGAGCCCAGCACTCGCTCCCCCTGAGCACCGAGCTCTGCCTCTCAGCCCCGCTGCGGAGAGCCAGGATGGGGTGCTGCGGGTGGGGGTGCCCTCTTTTCTATATTTATTTCACAAAGAAAAGCCTCCCGAGGGAGCAGAAATGCAGTCCGATTGAGGGCTCCCAGCCCCCGTGACGTCCCAGTAAGGGGCTGAGGTGCGGCCAGGGCCCCGCTCAGCGGAGCTCTGCCCGGCGGCCCGCCCCCGACGTGCGGCCCGCTTCCATGTGTGGTCCCTCCTCTCCAAAGCCCACGAAGCCCCGTCGGACAGGCTGGGCCCTTCTGAGGTCAACTCAGCTGATTCCATTTCTGACAGCGAGGAGGGGGGTGGGCCGCCTTGGCTGGGTGTCGCGCACTGAGAAGCCTGTTGTAAAGTCACAGTTTGTATAAAGACCTATTTTTGTACTACATGGGGACTCTTCCTGCATGTCAGCAATAAAGCTTCCTGACCTGGAGCCTCGCGGCCTCGCCTGCCGTTCTTGCCCTCCACCCAGCCCCAGCTCTCTCCGCCAGCTAGGTGTATTGGGCATGCCCTCCCCGCCCCCAGGCAGCAGGTGGCACTGGCCCCACAGTCCCAAATCGGGGCAGGGAACCAGAACCACTGGCATTCTCCCAGACCCCCAGCCCCTGCGCAGGCAGGAGAGGCCCCAGGCACTGGAGTAGTATTGACCCCTCCCCATCAGGGCCGGGGAGGACGCGGACAGACAGGCTGTCCATTCCATGCAGGAGAGCTGGCCTACAGGCCAAGCCTCTTCCTGCACCGCCCTCCTCCCCTCCCCACCATAGGAACCCACAGGGGTTCCTTCCTTCCTTCCCTCTTTCCTTCCTTCCTTCACCTAAATTTAGGGTCTGCAGACTGCACTTCCCAAGCAGCAAAGCCAGAGGCAAGCGCCCTCCCCCCCCAGCCAGGGTTTGCACGGCAGGGTCCCTCCGCAGGATGTGAGGAGGCCCCTCATCCCACCACCCCACAGCCACATCTGGCCCACGAGCACAGGGAGCCAGATCCTCCATAGCTGACCACCGTCCAAATCCTGGCCCAGAAGCCTGAAAAACACACCCAGTGTGTGTGTGTGTGCCCAAAATCCTGGCAGGAAGGAGAAATGGAAGGAAAGGGATTAGGGTATGACCATGACCCGTTGAGTTGAACCAGCATAACCGTTAGTCCATCTGCTGGGCCCCCTCATGAGTTTTTATTGTTGCCCTAAAAGCAAAGCTTGGAGTAGTCCCAGAAAGGTAGGTGTGGTCAGTGTGCCCCACAGCCACCTGTGCTCCTAGGAGGTCAGACAGGACAGAGGCAGCTCCCTCCCTTTGGCCCATACCCCGGTCTCCAGCGCCCTCAGGGAGCAGTTTCAGAGAAGCCAGACAAGCCATGGTGAATCCACAGTGGGAGAGGGGAAATGGATCTTGTGGTTGAGCTCTTTGGTGCCAAAAGCAAGCCAGCCCCCACTCCTAGTCCCCTGAGCTGGCCCTGCTCTCAGAGCACGGCATCGGACCCTCAGACCCGCCGCAACCACCCTATGCCCCCCGCCCCGTCTCCCTGCCCCCACTCCTCCCGCACAGTACAGGCACCATGCATCAGCCCACGGGGGTCTTCCAGCTTGGTGACGTCCCTCTCCGGCTCGCAGCCCTCCCACGGCCTCAGCCCTTGCAGGGTGACACCCAGAGGCCTGCGTGGCTTCTAGAGAGCTACAGCAGAGGCTCCACAGCCGGCCACCTGGAACTCAGTCAGCCCTCAATCTTCCTATGGCACGGCCTGCTTGATCCCGAGTAAGCCTGCATTTCATGACCTTGTGTCGGCTCCTCTTCCTGGGCTTATTTTTGTTTTGTGTTAGAGCACGTGTGCTTGAGAGAGAGTGGCCCTTTTACAGGGCTCAGTCATGCCATGGTCCTCCTCCAGTCCTGCCTGCTAGGACCCTGGGCACACATGCATGTATGTGCCTGGCGTGTTTTCAGGCCAGCCAGGTCCAGGCTGGAACTGCGCTTGGCATGCGGCTCCGAGCTCCGCAGTCCGGTATGTGACGGAGGGGCCGGGCCAGCTCTTCTTTCTAGAAGGCTCAGCCTCCACATTTGCACAACTTTTTCATTTAGATCGCTACTCAGGATGTCCCCTTCTTAGGGCTAGCAGATGGCTTAGTGGTTAAGGTGCTGGATTCCACATGGCTAACTGCAGTTTGAGTCCTGGACGGGGTGGCTTGAAACTCACACCAGGGATGTGTGTATGGCCCAAAGTCTCGAGGGGAGGACGGAGAAGGGATTGCAGTGTGGCCACCCACCCCGGGGGATGATTTCTCGCTCTCCCTCTGTCTCTCCAGCAAGCATGCATGTCCTATGGCAAAAATCTAAAAAAAAAAAAGTCCCCTCTCAGGCCTTCCATTTTGCTGATGACAGTCTGACACACGATGGGAGATTTGTCTCCCACACTCCAACGCTGTGTGCACGAGTCAGGACAGGATTCCTTTCTGCGGGGACAGCTGTGGGAGCGGGAAAGGGCCTGCTGCTGGCACTTAACGGGTGGGGAGGCGACGGCAGACCCCGCGAGGCAGGCAGAGTCTACATCCTGCAATTAGTGAGCAGCTTGTTTACAGTTGCCAGAGCCAAGAATGTAACCCTACTTTACACAAACACAAGGGATCTGTGTGTACATAACTCGGAATTTTCTGGGAACACCACTGTGTAAAGCTGAGGAAATCTGTCCTTTATTTTGTCCAGAACTTTTTACCAAGAGTGCTTCGCTCCAGCCATCACCACCACGCTGTTCCAGCTCCAGCCTGCCCACAGTGCCCTCACCTCCCCGGTAACTGCCCACGGCACAGAACCACCTCGCTCCTTTAGGAGTCAAATGTTTGGGTGTGCGTGTGTGTATAAATTAGATGTGAAAGTTGGTATTAAGTCATGAATTTCACTTCAGGAGCGTAAGGGAGCAATAGAAAGCATTTGGGAGCCAGAGTGGCCTGGTGGTGACAGGTGACACTGATGGCTAACCCACACGGGGACTCCCTGTACAAGGCCAGAGACCTCCCTGAGTACGCCAGGCAGACTGCCCAGACCTGGGGCTGGCTGAGGCTGGAAGTGGATCACAGCACCAAGACCCCATGTGGGGCTGCTGTATCTCTGTCTCTCTCTCCTTGGGGGGTCTCACCGTGTGGAGAACCGTGATCTAGACAGAGCTGCCCTGTGGAAAACTGGTGGACATGTGGGCTCTGAGGTCCCAAGTCAGGCCCTGCCACTTGCAGCCATGTGATCATGCATTGCCCAAGCCCTCGGAGCCTCACTCTCCCCCCCGTCAAACGGGAGTCATGCTCCAGTGCTACAGGTGTCCTAGGAGCCAGGGCATGAGCATGCAGCTAGCATAGTGCCCGGTCCCGGAGGGTGCTGACCACCATCACTCTTACCCAGGTCTTCTCATGACCCGCTCCACAGCTGCTATCCTGGGGCCTGGAGGCACAGGGCACTCAGAGACCAGGGCAGGCCTCAGGAGGCCCGAGCGAGTCCCCTTCCCTCTGTCCAAAACCTGCCCCCTCTGCTGGCTGAGATCCCAGAGTTGGAGGCAGAGCAGCCAGGGCAGTCCAGAGTGGGCAGGGAGGAAAGGGAGCAGGGGGTGTTTGGCTTTGCATTGAGCCCGAAGATGCCAGCACCGCTGGGGCCCCTGTCCTGGGCTCTGGCTTTCTGTGAAGATTCGTCCTTCCTGGGTTCATCTTAGGAGCATGTCGTGTGCATTCCAAGGTGACCAATCCTGGCCTGACAGGCAGCCTGGGGGGCGGCGGGAGGGACACCACAGGTAGGTAGGTTGGATGCAAATCAGACAAGCAGGTGACAGAAGTGCAGAGTGATCCCAGCCACAAGGCTGGAGCAGGTGGCCGGGCAACGCGTGGACAGGCTGGAGGGCCGGACCGGGTAGGCAGATGGTTGGTGGCATGTGGGCTGTGGGGACGGCCATGTGGGCCAGAGCCTTCGACACCTGCAGGCCCTCCAGGAGTTGCCCTTGGCTTCTTAGAACTCGCCAGAGCAAGGCCGTCAGCGGGACAGACTAGTGAGAGACACAAGCAGGCTAGGGTGGGGCCCGGGGGTGAGCCCCACTTCATCCACAGGCAAGCCCGCCATCACTGCCAGACGGCTGCCCGCTCCCCTGCGCACTGCCCACCCCGCTCCTTTCTCACGGCCGCAGGGAGGTTTCCAAGGCAACTGTCATGGGCCAGGACACTCCCCAAGGACGCCCCCACTCTTACAACAGCGTCCAGTCTAAGCTCTTAAGCAGGACCTGCCGACCTGGGGTGGTCAGCATGCCGCTCCCCCTTGCACCCACACATCAGTCACACTGGCTTTCTTTGATATATATATGGGTATTATATATATGTAAATGTATATAAATTTTTTTAAAGACTGGGACCAGCAGTTGGCACAATGGCTATGTCACTGGACTCCATGTAGTCGACCGTGGTTCGAGTCCTGGACCTGGTGGCTTAAACTTATGCCAGGCCCATGTGCGTGTGTGGCCAAGATCCCGAGAATGGAAGAGAAGGGACTGTGGCATGGCCTCCCCCCCCCCCGGGGGGGGCGGGGTTTCTCCCTTTTTTCTCCTCTTTCTTGGCGC